CACCAGCCTTCTGGTTAGCAGTCAAGTGCCTTAGCCACTATGCTACCAGAGCTCCTCTTTTTTGCCTAAGCAGAAGGAATAGTGTACAGAGGCTCTGGAAGAGAGCAGCATTGTTTGGAGAACTGTAAGTAGTTTAGTATGGTTGGAGTGTAGAGGGTGAATGGATACAAGTTAGAGAAGCCAGGTAACTTTATTTTCCATGCTAAGGAATTTGAATTTTATCCTGAAGGTGATGTGAGCCATTGAAGATTTTAAGCAGAGTGGTGGTTGCATTGTCAGATTTATGTTTTAGAAAGTTCATTCTGACAGTATTCAAGAGCAGTCCGGAAAGGAGACCATCAGGTAGTTGTCTTTTGCAGTAATTTAAATTAAAATGTCTGTAGGATAATGGGACCGGTGTGGTAAGGTCAGGTGCTGAATTCCAGTGATAGTAAGGAGAGAAAATCAGTAGAGTTACTGGCCAGAAGAAAGAGTGAATGTGAAGATGACTTGCAAGTGTCAATTAGGTAGATGAATTGAGAAATAAATAGGTTCTTTTCCTCAAGCTGTTTTATTTAGGGTGCCAGTTTGAGCAGGGCTGTGGTGTTAGTTATACAGTGCTGCTATAACAGAAATACCACAAGTGGATATCTTTTTCACAAACAGAATTTTGTTTTTCTTACAGTTAGGAAGTTGTTGTGGTTGTTGTTAGGTGCTGCTGAGTCACCTTCAACTCATAGCGACGCTGTGTACAACAGAATGAAACACTGCCCGATCGTGTGCCATCCTCACAGTCCTTGCTATACCTGAACCCATCATTGCAGCTACTCTGTGAATCCTCTTGTTTTGAGGTTCTTCCCTTTTTCGCTGAATCTACACTTTACCAAGCATATTCTTCTCCAGAGAATGCTCCCTTCTGACAACATGACCAAGGTAGGTGAGATGAAGTCTGGGCATTCTTTCTTTCAGGGAGCATTCTGGCTGCACTTCTTCCAGGACAGATTTGTTTGCTCTTCTGGCAGTCTATGGTACTCAGCATTCTTTGCTAACATCACAACTCAAAAGCATCAGCTCTTCTTTGGTCTTCCTTATTCATTGTCCAGCTTTCACATGCATATGAAGCTATTGAAAATATCATGACTTGGGTTAGGCTCACCTTAGCCTCAAAGATACATCTTTGCTCTTCAGCACTTGAAAGAGGTCTTTTGCAGGAGATTTGCCCAGTGCAATACAACATCTGATCTCTTGACTGCTTTTTCCATTGGTGTTGATTGTGGATCCAAGTAATATGAAATCTTGACAACTTTATTCTTTTCTCTATTTATTAGGATTCTGCTTATTGGTCCAGTTGTGAAGATTTTTGTTTTATGTTGAGGTGTAATCCA